TTCTGAAATGTCTCAGAGCAGAGTCTGGTATGCAGTGGATGGAGCGCCAGGGCGATGATATGAGCAAACAGCAAGAGAGAAAGGGGAGGCTGCAGTGCAAAAGCCAGTGCTTTGGTCCCTGTGAGATGGCAGAGAGTTAGGTAGCTTGAGAATTTGACACATGAATTTTTCCAGGCCTTCACTTATTTCATAATTAGTGCTTTAATGAAGTAATGCTAGGGAACAATCTGTATTGTATAATTCTGTTGTGTTTTCCATTGCCTGGGACCTTTCAGAAGTAGACTTCAGGGGGAAAAAAAAGGTCAGAAATAAGAGTTTATTTAAAAAAAAAATCTTCTATTTATTTAGTTTGTCTGGGCCAGACGTGGCGTAAGCAGCAGTGGGCAGGAAGAGGCCAGGCTTGTGACTTCCTTTCCTCTCTCCGTGGCAGACAGGATACATGTGCTGGCGTGTGTGTGTGTGAAAGTGCCGAGGTGCGTGTTCCGTGTTTGTCACTGGAGCCTTTCAAAAGGTCAGCGCAGTCTTGGTCTCTGGGAACTAGTTTATCAAACTCTGCTATCTATAATGCCTGCTAGGTTGCTTGGTGGAGTAGAGTTTAAAATTTTATCTCAAGGAAGTACAAAAATGGGAGTTTGGAAATCTGGTTCTGTTCCAGGCTCTTTGTCAGACGTATTGTGCGGCCTAGCAAATTGCTCCCTAATCCTTCTCACATTAGTATAACCTTTATTACCTTTTAGAATGGCCACAGCAGAGTATTGGCTTGCGTGGCTCTTAGAAGTCTGTAGGCCCTTCTTTCCCGTGGGTAACTGGTATCTGCATTAGGTTTTGTTAGTTTACAAGTAAAGTTATACTTACAGTCCTGCAAGTATAGACTGCAACAATTGCTGTTGCTATTCAGAGACATGATTTGAGTCTCTGCCATATGGGTGCCCTGCTGCCACCCATGGCAAATCTAAAGATTCTAAATCTAAAGAGGTAGATTTAGGTTGTAGACTGAGTGTAGCATAATTGCACAAGAATAGCTGTGCAGGAAGAGTAACAGCTTTCATGTGAGCTCTTAGCCTGTATAAAAATCTAAATTTTATTTAATTTATAAAAAAAAAATTAAAATTGCAGTGGTCTTGCTGCCAGCTGAACAGCTCTTAGCATTGTGGTACTGCAATATCTGAGGATACGAGTAAACACATAATTGTATAAAAATAAAAGAAGTAAAAAATAAAATCTATTTTTTAAACCTATCTTTAATGAGGCAACAACCTGAAAATGGGAGGTACTAGGTGCATTCTGGCCTATGCATATGTTGGTTGACTAACATAGAAGAGGGAGCTCCTCCTTGAAGGTATGGTCATATCACAGAATCACAGAATGGTTAAGAAGGTTGGAAGTGACCCCTAGAGATCATCTAGTCCAACCCTCCTGCTCCAGCAGGCACACCCAGAGCATGGGGCACAGGGCGGCATCCAGGCGGGCTTTGAAGATCGCTGGAGAAGGAGACTCCACAACCTCCCTGGGCAGCCTGTTCCAAGGCTCTGTCACCCTCACAGGAAAGAAGTTCTTCCTCACATGTGTTCATGCAACAACAGATCAATGTTTCCCAGAGCTTTTTATCCAAGACAGGCCATGGCTAATACAGAAAAGATCTTGTTCACTGTTCTCGGATCTCCCTGAGTGCCCGTCTTGATGCTCTCAGTAAAACTGTTTAGAGTTGCAGATCAACGGATTTAAGTCTAGATTATAATGTCACCTTTAGTGGTAGGATCTTTGTATTTCTAGTAACAAAGAAGACTTTCTTGTTTTTTCCTTGGGATTCTTTTTTAAGCTCATTTCTCTAACATTTCAAATATTAACAAGCAAGAGAAGAATAGGTTAAAATCTGATTGTATTAAAGACTCAGTAGCTGGGGTATATGTTCTGATACATTCTCACCATGAGGGTGAAGGTATATAAGGCAGTTGACTTGTGCTCAAGATGTGCTGTTGTCGTCATCAAAGTGGTCAAAGTGCTCAGGGAGTTCAGAAGAACTAAAAAATTGTATGCGACTCTTAGATGACCTTGAAGATAGGAGATAGGTACTTAACAGGTTATGTTTTTCTGACATTAACCACAAAAGGGGACCTGGAGGAATAGTAAGGGAATTGAATGTGGCATACAGTTCAGTCATTTGTGACCCCAATTGCAAATTCCAAGTGCTATTACAAATATTTTGGATTCATGGTGATTACATGCATACTTAGAGCCACAGTCTGACTTTAATTGTTGCTTCAAAAAAAGGACAAATAAAAAGGAATGATTCTTTGCAATGAAACAGAAACATTTTTTCCTCTAGTACTAGAACTGCATCTATACATAATTTTTATCCTTTGGCAATTCTAGAGAGCTCAAAGGTTGTTACAACTTTATGTGTGTTATATAGTTTGGACTCAAAGGGTAAGATTTTTTTTTATTTCAGCAGAGGTCTTTTTAAGGAAAAACATATTTTCATTGTAGAAAATAAAATATTTCATTTCCAAATATTGAGGAAAAAAAGCCTTCAGTTAAGAATATGTTAAAGGATGAAACTCTGCAGACTGAATTCACAAGGCATTTTCTTGCTGCTAAATCTGTTTATCTCAAAAATTTTGGATAAAAAAATAGTATTTGTCACAGCAATGGTATCTGAATTTTCCCGAGGAAAAAATAATTCTCTTTTTTTTTTTTAAATACAGTAAGATCTACATTGTATTGTAATGTTTTCCATGAAGAAAAAAATAGAAAAAAATGAAACACAAAGGTTTTTCAAAGATTACAGAGGTTTTTAAGCATAATTTGTGACTTGGTTTCTCTGACTGGGAATTTCTAAACTGCCTGGTGATTTCCTAGCTGTCCTATTTCAAAGTGACTTCTAGCAAAGGCCAGGAAGGCTTTTGAATAGCCCTTTATATCAGGCAAAGTGCCAGACAGCCTTTGCCCTGATTTTACTGGCTTTTGCTCCATTCAAATGCTATATTCTCAAGGGAACAGCTAACACAAAGCCATGTCATTAGTTAAAATCTGTCAGAGGTCATTAGTGCTTTAAGCTTATTACCTTCTTACAGTTGATCAGTGACTAAATGATGGGAGTTTCCAGTGGACAAGCAGTTATCAGTAGACATTACCCCTATAAATGGCATTAATGAGCCTACTTACTGGTACTTTTAGCGGAAAAGTCAAGGACTGAATGGGAAATAGATAATAATTTACCTATCTGTCTTTCAGCTGAGTCCTGGAGGACTCTGTTTATTATTAGAAAAAATTATTGGCAATGTACCGAATAAGCACCAGCATCTTGTGTTACCTCTCCTTGAACGAAAATGGCCATTTGGGTTGCTAGGGTTCTTTACATAGCAAATAACATAAAAGAGTAATATTTTTTGTATTATTGCTTTATTCACGTGGCAGACTCAAACCTCCATCCCTATGAAAATGAAAATAAGCTGTATTAAGGTTGGACCTACGTTAATCATCTTGCTACAGTCACTAGAAAAAGGAGGCACCTCAAAGAGTAATTCATTCTACCTTATTGCAGAAATCTAGAAGAGGGAGTCATATGGAGAGTAGGCGATTACAGTCCATTTAGATTTAGAATGTAATTGCAGCCTCTTTTTCATGGCTTCAGCGACAAGGTGAAGCTTATCTGAAACTAATGTTTTCTTAGTCAGGATTTGGCACAGATCAAATGCACAGTGTGGCTATATTATCATAGGGCTAGAGAAGTCTTTGGGAAGAAGCTTTGTTTGGAAAGACTGTGGCAATGCTGAAGACATGGATTAAGTACTATTAATTACTGTGTTAATTTATATAATAAAACACTAAGAAGTATTTTATTGAGGTTAACTAGCTGTCTATGAGGAATAGCATTAAAGACGTATTTTTTTTTCATTAAGTTAGATACTTAAAGCTGATTGACAGTATCAACAACACTTATGAATGCTTTTGCAAGAAACAGAGAACACAGATAAGCCAGATTGGCTGTGTTTAATATGTTTACAGAGTCATTCCAAAGTAATATGGTGCTATAGAAAGTGAATATTTTGGCATTCATTGAATATATTTTAGATGTTTGCAGAGTTAATTCTGTGTTTGTTTTCAAGTCATTTGGTACCCTGGTCAGAAAGCATCTTTGAGCATTCATACCCTTCTGAAAATAAGCTTTAAGGACTGGTTTGTCAGCACTCTTCTGAAGAAGAAGAAGAAGAAGAAGAAGAAAAAAAAGTAAAATCCTAATGCATTCTTTAGTGGAACAATTACAAGATATGCCTGACAAAACCTGCCTCACTTCATGGTACAGATAGGATAACTTGAATATCTAAAGTATGATACTTTGCAGTGGAAAACATGGCTCATAGCTTCTTGTTATATTTTCATTATTTCTACCATTAGATATTATGGTATTTGATATTACAAAAGGTTATTATTTTTATATATATACATATATATATTGCAAAATATTATATATGTCTAAAAACAGTGCATTTATTCTCAGCCAGGACTTTAAGTTAACACAGATGTAGGAACTGCTGTAAAGTGTCATGCAAAGTTGAAGAAGCCGGCTTCTTCCAAGTTTCAACTGATAGAAGGTAAGAAAATTAACATTGATTAGAATGGCACAGTAGGTCTCCTACTCTTAGTTTCACAGCTTTTAATTTCATTTGATTCTGTATGTTGGTTGAAGATAATTGGATGCAAAATTTAACTTGGATAGACTGCAAATGCCTAAACCCAGCTTGATGCAGAAAAGCCACACTCTGCACATGGCACTCAATCAACAGATTATTAGAGATGCTCTTAGCTCAAAGGAAGATGAGTAAAAGAAGAAAGACTGTTTGTGAGCCCCAAACAGTTCCACCACTGCTGTGATTTAGCTCAGCTTCAATTAGATCAGTTGAGCTATGCCCACTTGCTGCAGCTTGGGATCTTGCCCTTAAATATCAATTTTGAAAGTGAGACAGAAATCAATGATGTTATCGAAACATCACTTGACCTTTGAAGCAGCCTTATGATCTGGAACCTGAAAATACCTGAAAAGGAAGGCAGAGAAGAACAAATGCTGAACCAATTTGAACAAAGAATTTAATCATGTCACCAAGCACTCAGCAAAGCTAAACTCAAATTTTTAAAAGCTGATCTAATATTCATCCAAATAACGTTTATCTCTTGGAGTAACTTCCAATTGTGGCAGGTTTCACAAGGGTCGGGATTTGTTTTAATTTTTTCTCTGTTTTAAGTTGCTTTTTTTTTTTTTTTTTTTTAAATGGCTGTTGCTAATTTCTGAAATGTTTCCTTCAGATGAGTGGGGGAGTGTTAACAATGCTGGAACCCACATATTGGGAGATGGGTTGTCCACGCTTTTCTAATCAGCTGCTTGCCAGCTGAGGCATTTGTGATTAAATTTCCATGTCCTTGAAATTCTGCAAGAGCAACTCTCTGCTCCTTCCCTCCTACTCATACGTGCGTCAGCGTACAGGGATACAAGGCAAAATAAGGTTGCAACCTAAGGTCACTAAAAGATATAATATAATTTCCTGCTCTTCCCTGCTTTGTGATTAGAGGTTTTATTTGTGTACCAGTGGCTTTTAAATTATACACCAGTAGTTTGTCTTTCAGATTGTTCTCCAAATTTCTCACTCAAAAGAAAAAAATATATATATACTTACCAATTGTCTTATCCATCTGCATGTCACAAATACCAGATCAGAAGATATGTAATAGAGAAAAATTACCGATACACATGCATCTTTTGCAGTAATGATTGCCTTCATAAATTGTAGTAAAGTATACCTGAAAAGGACTTGAGAGCTGTTTTAAACCATTTGTGTTGTTTTTGGAACATTTGGAACTGAATGATGAGCGCATTATTTGAAAAAGAAAAAAATAGTTGATTGGTGATTCTTTGTGTTTCTGCAGTATTTGACTGCTCTAAGTTCATGGGAAAACACAGTGACAGAATTTGGCTGAAACGGGGCGAGTGGCAAGAAATCGCAATAGTGCTGCAGCAAACACTGTATTATGATGAGCCTGCCGTAGCTTGCAGTAGATTACAGCCCATTTGTCAGTGCAAGTCCTCTCTAAAGCTGTGGAAAGGCTTTGCGAGCAAGAATATGGAAAGCAGCAATGCAGGTCAATAGCAACTGTTGACTTTCCTTGCTTATGGATAGATTGCTGGCCTTAGGTATACATGGTGAAAACTCTTGACATTTGCAATCTCACGTAGGATACAGGCTATCATGCTGAGCTTATGAAGAGCTGTAATGTTAAAACCTTAAAAATAACATAAGTTCTTTGTGCTGGCCAGTTCTTGCTGGTAGAGGTATCAGAAAAGATGCACAATCTGATTAAATGTTATTGGATATAATCAAACGAATTTATTATTCAGATCATGCCATTGAAGAGGTGGACTAGAATAAGCATTCATCATTAGAGTGATGTTTAGGTTAGTCAGGCTTAACTATAATTGCTATTGATATATAGGCAGTGCTGTCTTCTGACAGTGTACAAACAGGCTGTCCTATATGACCGTCTGTAGAGGTGTTGTATAGAGTCCTACTGAGGGAGCCCTTCTCCAAAACTGTTTCTTTTTACCTTTCCTATTGACATTTCTGCAACCTTTGTATCTCTGTCCTTCCTGTATAGTGCATATGGAAATGGAATATATGCAAAATGAGTATGAAGAGAAAGCCAAGCTTTTATTCCCTGGGATGCCATTAGTTTTGTGTTTAAACCACTGCATTCTCATCTTCTAATTTTCCCTTCTCTGTCCCATATAATTATTGCTTCTCAGATAGAATAAAAAGCCAATCTGTAAGAATTGCTGCGTTGTCATGGAAATTGCTTTCAAAGGACCACCCTTGAGGTAAATTTTAGCCAGTGAGGTCACTCAGTGCTGAGCAGCAAATTTGGACTTGATAAAAGGAAGTGCAGTCTCATTTCCTTTGATTTCAGTTGGATTTATGCTGACTTTATTGCCAGTCGTCCTAGCGAGGAAGACCACAGAGAAACTTCTCTAGCTGTTCAGCAAATTAACCTAATATTTTTGTGTATTGACAAGATGGCAGTGCTCTCTACTTTGTTCTCACTTTCCTCCCAGGATGAGTTAATGTAGACAATATAAATGTCTAAGTTTATGTGAATTATAATCTCCCCCTTTCCTGTTCAAAGAAAATGCAGTATTTGGCAGAGGAAATGGTGAATTGTAGGTGCCAAGTCAATAAAAGTCTTATTGCTTTTCCTCTTCAGCTATGAGCTGGGTTTTGAGAGTGAATGGCTAGAGATTTAGTTAAAGATTTAAAATCTTATATAATCAGAGTAATTTTTGCATCTTCCTACTCCAAAGTGGGTATGGGCTAGACAAAAATAATGACTGTGAATAAAATCCAACTATTAATAGCGAGGAAACATAATAGTGAATTATGGGCATATACTTGGAACACAGCTTTATATTACAACACAACAGCTAACTTACTAATTAATTTTTAAATTACGCGCTAAGTTGTGTTGTTAGCACAGAGCGAGCCATTTGCTGTACTAGCTACTCGCTGATTTCCTTTGCAGAGAAGATGATTCCTTGTTAAAGTACATTACTAGGACCTGTGTATTTGTGCAGCAGTCCCGTTTGTTGTGCTGTTAAAGAATTATGCAGGTGTGCATCAAAGCCCACAGGTAATGTACATAGCAACTGGAAAATAGGTACTTATAAGAGAGGGTCTGCTTAAAAATGGATGAAAATACATATGCTTAAGATACAATTATTGTCTATAGTTCCGTGATGTGTCCCACTGCATTGCATCCATGAGCTGGAGTTGCCATTCATGACTATGCTGTATGATGCCTCTAAGCAAAATTATTTTCTCTCATACTTGCCCTTTCGTTTTCCTTTGCTTACTTTTGCTCTCTCTTGCTCACTTAAAATTGAGATCTGACATGAATACTGTGTTCTCACAGGAGAGTGAATAGATTTTATTTTTGGCTTTGCACTGATTTAGTTGCTTAACAAGTCATGGAGATTCAAAGAAAAATAAAAACATCAAAGTAATGTTAGTTTTCCTTTTTACATGATTAAATGCAATGGGTCTGTACTTAATATTTTCTAAATAAAGCAGGTCAGCTTTTATATACTTACAATTTAGTTAAACCTCATTAATTTCAAATGGAAATTTGGCATTGAATCACTTGAGTGAAATTTCACTCAATTTCTTCATGTCTGCTTAGGCACCTAAAGTCTACAGCTGAATTAAATATAAGTAGAATAAAGCAAAGTATAAGCTAAATTAAACGATTTGCTGTAGCAATTATAAGGATTTCAGAGGAGTGTGGGAAAGCTGATATTTGGAAACAATTTGTCAGTGGAACAGTGTCATTGTAATGTCTCCTCTGGTCAAGCTAAATATTTTTTGCTTTAACATTTACATGAGTGTTTGTCCATGCAGGAGTTTGAAGGAGTTTCCAACTGTCTGAAGCTGCTCAGCTGCCATAATTACACCCCTTTCCTGAGGAACAGCTTATTCTTACTTACAGCAGGCCATGTGCAAACCCTAAGAATGCCTATATTCTGAATAAATCCATTCCACAGGACTGGAAAATCCATTTTGGCTGGAAAGCTTCATTTTTCAAGGAGAGAGAGAGAGAACGTGAATGGAACTTGGATAGCCCTCCTCCTACTAATAACTGGTTGCCCATGCAGAGAACAGCAAGAGAGCACCACCACATATATAACCTGGGGCAGGTAGTATTTAGGAAATTGTCAGTGACTGTTGATAACTAATGAAAATTAAAGAGTATTCCTCACCAGGAGATGAAGACTTGGCAAATGAGCAAGATATTTGAGGAAGGATGACCTGCAGAGCACTAAGAATTCCCAGCAAGGCTCAGACCTTTTAGAATCAGAAAAGTGAACCCAGTCTGGACAGAGGAATGGTTCTCAGGGGATAGAAGGTAATAACCTGCAAAAGCCAAAGAGTGGGAACTTTGAAGAAGATGTATGAGGACCATTTGTGTCCAATGCTTTCAAAATGTCAGGCCAGAGACACAATGCTAGCCTATCAGAAGCTCACATACTGATGAAATGATCCAGAACAGGACCCATTCAGCAATGAGAAGATTTCAATTTTCATGAACAAAAGGCATGCTATAAGACTGGCAGCTATACGGCCTGCGTGGTATAATTTGTTGTAATTTGCTTTAAAAAGCACTTAATGTATTTTTTCTCACTTATATTTATGCATTATCATAAAATTACTAATCTGTTCTCTCCTCTTTCTTCTTCTCACCCTGTTCGTAGGACCACTAGAAATATAATTCCTAAGTTGCTACTGCTAAGTATGTATAAGAGTATGCAAAGCAATGGGTAACAAAAAGACACAGGTTCAGAAAGAAGATTTACTGTGTGAAGGTGCAATTGAAACCCAGTAGTTTTAGACTTGCTGTTGAATAAAGGCTGAATTTTCCCTTGGTTTACTTATAGGCCTAGTTCATTTCTAGTGTTTAGATCAGCTCCAGGTCTTTTAAATATTATTTAATGTTTATATAAATAGCAAGGGTTGGGATGCCTATAATGAAGACTTCTAGTTTTGATGAGAGATGTGATAGATTGAGTAGAATATTGAGAGAAACAGTATGTGGTAGTGCCTTTACTATCCAAGCTGCAAAAGCCGCATATAGCAAATATTTTAATATTCTCAGTTTTAAAAGAATGATTAGAGAACCTATTGCTTACCAAATGCAGGACTGGTAAAATATCTTATGAATATCAAACAATATATAAATGATCAAAAAAAGAGGTGCAGTCATGTTGTTTTATGCATATCTATGCAATATAGATGATAAAATCTCTATTTATATAGAATTTGTATTTATTTATATTTATTATGTATATAATTTTCCCTGTAAGGTGAAGGAGAAGGAGAACCCTGACACTATGTCAACTGTGTCTCTTAATGTCTTGTAGTCAGCATAGTTGTTTTTAATATTTAGCATAACAGTAGTTATAAATAATAAAACCGTATAAAATCTTCATACTCATAATGTTTGATATTACTATTTTATGTAAATATCTTGGTACTGAAGTCATGTAGCAGAAGCTACATTACCACTTACTAAGCCTGGGGCTCTGGCTATTATTCTGTGCTTTTACAGAGTGTTGGAAATAACCTTTTTTTTAAATTTTATTTTCTGGAATCAGTAAAACAAAATACAAGGTTGCCTTTTGAAGGATCCCAGTAACTCTGTGTGCTACTCAACTGATTATTTTATTATGACTTTAGTGGGGTCACCCAGGTTGTTTAGCTATCATCTTAATGTGAACCTCTGAAAATAATCAGCAATTCTTGTTTCCAGAAGGGCAGAGTAGTCATGATGATGATACTCTGATTAGCATGAGGAAATCTCTATTATTTCCAGGAATTTGGATAAAGAAAATAATTATTAATGTAATTTTTGTAACACAATACCTGGAATGGTAGAACAACGTAAAGGTGAGGAATTGTAACTGGAATGGCCTTGTGTTGAAACACAAGGTAGAGAGATGTTTTTATCTTGCTTTTTTTCACATGTGCCCGCATCCACTATTAGGCGAACATATATGTTTCCAGAGATCTAATAGAGGAGTGCTGGCAAATAGTATTCGAGACTATTTAACAGAACTCCTGCATATTGGACTTTAATTATGATAATGGATAAAATGAATGTGATTTTTATGTTTGAGTACAAGTCCACAGACTTCATCAGTGAATTAAAGCTAAAAGTATCAGAATAAAGTAAGTTAATCAGAATAGTTAATAGTTAAAGAAAGTTAATCAGAATAAAATAATGTTTTAAACAGGAACCAGTACAGTAGACTGTGAGTGTGTGGCAGGGTCAGGAAGCATATGGACTCAATAATGTGTGAAGCCCCAGTCTGTCATTTTTAACATGCATGCCTTCCCATGTGCGTCTAGGCAATGAAAAACATGGTCCATGCACGATGCAATTTTCACATTTGAGAAGAGCTTTGCTACCATCATTGTCTGCACTTCTCTAAAGGCTGGTTCTTTGGGTTAGGTAACAGTATTTTCAGAGTTGATGCCGTGGCAGTATTACTCTTTTTCTCTTAACCAACATATTGTTGAGCTACATATGAGAGAGGTTCATTGGATTAATTGCTGGTAGCATTTTTCAAAATAGTGCACAGGTAGTTCTGGGGTTTCCTAATAAAGAAATAAATATCAGACAATTTGAATTTCTGCAGGTAGTGCTTTCAGGACTTTCTCATGGATAGTCACGTAGTGTACATAGTGAATCTTTTTCCATCTTTTGCCTCTTCAGAGCTTGTGCCTTCCCTGATGCACAAGCATCACATGTCCTGTTTTGTTCCACAGCTGGTTCAGTAATGCAAAGCAAAGCCACACTTCCAATTAAGGAGAACAAAGAAGAAAGTTGTGCAGTTAAATACATTCCTTCCAAAAGGCACTGAGGAGGGGTAGAGGAAAGAAGCACTTGCCCATCCTCAGAGGAGTGTTTTGAAGTTTCGAAGTTTTCAAGTTTTTGAGTGTTTTGAAACCCTGCAACAAAGTTACAGCATGTCAAAAGGAAAAAAAAAGATAATTTGCTGGTTTCCTGCTTTGTGGACTTATCATTGAAAAACTCACCAGTTGCTCAGGATGAAGGATTCTCTAAGCAGCACTTTTATATTGTTTTTAAGTAGAACAGTGGGAGCCTTGATAAATGCCTGGGTCAATATCAATGTCTGCATCTCAAATGTAAAGTTCTTCATCCCTTATTATCTAAACCAACACCTGCATTCAAAACTATTTCCTTCAAATTGCATATTTTTCTAATGTCTATCACCTTTGAACCAACAGCATGTAGTTCACACCAAGAAAACATATCTTATGTATGCTCTCATAGAGCGATATCTCTCTGCCATTACTTTGCAGAGGTAGCATGCTGTTCGCAGGACAGCAATTTTCAGTAATAGTGTTGGAATGAGAATAAAGGAAAATGCCTTTAATTTAAATGCTACTTATCTCTAGACCCATGTGGTAGGAAAGGAGAAGATGATATAACCTACTATGGATTATGCTGGTGTGCAGTTCCATGAAAAGAGTAGGAATTAGCTCTTTACCTGGATCTGCTTTGAGATGACAGATAGAAAAATTGTCTGTGTTCAACGTGTTAGGCTGTCTACAACCATTGGCTTACTGTATACATTTAATGTTGTTCTCATGGACATGCCTTATCCATTTTAGCTACTTTGGTAGGTGCTTTGTAACTGAAAGGTGGGTCAAAGTGCAATGATTTTTTAAGTCCCAGATACAGGTGTAAGTCCAGACAATACGTTGATAATTTAGCGCATGCTGAAAAAGTATGTTGGCAAGTGGAAGCTGTATTAGAAGCTCATTACTGCAGCAGGAGCTATGAAGTGGCATATAAGAGGGGAAACAGGAGAGAAGTGGGTGGGAGGGGTGATCCTGTGTTAGGAAATTGGGAATTTCAGAAGGTGGTTTAATTCCAGGTTAGAACAAACCTCTGAAATGGCAACTTGCAATAAGCAAAATCTGGAAAATGAAATCACTTTAGGGGAACTAAAATATTTGGCAAGACTATGCTGCTTCCCAAGAACGGAGGCTCCATAGGCAATCAGGAAATTTAATTTCCGTTTGTCCTATAGGGAAATCCTGAATCCCTTGCTGCGGTTTGCTGGGAAGCGGAGAGCCTGCGAGCTGGGAGCCATCCTCCCCCGGCACTGGGAGGCAGCCGCCAGCGGGGACGCGCAGCGGGGCCGGGGCGCCTCGGAGCGGGCGGCCTGCGCGCCCTGCGCCGCACGTGCCCGCGGCAGCTCGCCCTGGCCTGCTCGACCCGCCTGCTGCCATCGGAACCGAGTTGCCTTCAGCAAACGTGATTCCCTGGGGAGCTGCCTTTTCAGCAGGCTAGAAAATTCCAGCAACGGTCACGTATGTTCCAGGGAAACTTCTGGATCAGCTTTAGAAGTTAGCAGTGGCTGGGAGGTGGCCTAGAGCCAAGTCCTAAAGAAGGCGAGTTGTGAAAATGCTGCCTGATTGCTGATATGGGCCTGTAAAAGTAACAGGTGTCCATTTGGGTGTAACAGTGTTTTTTATGAATGAGTGTCTATTTGTGCACCGGATTGCCCTAAAAAGTAGACTGTTAAGTATTGTAAGGAGCATGGTCCAGAAAATAATAAACAGTTTTTAAATTTGTAGATCAGGATTTGTGCTCTTCCAGTTTCATAGCAAATGAAGAATGATGTGTCTATATGGATGTGTAGCCTACCTAGTCTCCTGCAATCATTATGGTTGGAAAAGACCTTCAAGATCATAAAGTCCAACTGTAAACCCATCAGCACTGTGCCTGCTAAACCATGTCCATTGCAGTATGTTCTAGCAGGTGATACCAAATGATCCCACTCTGTGGAATGGAAAGAAAAATCCATGCTTCAGGATTTTGCACAGGTCCTGGCTGTTAGGACACACAAATGTGGCTATGGAGATGTTTTCCTGTGCTCTCCCTTGCCCAGCTACCCAAGGACCTAATACCCTCAGGCTTGGGGTGTCAGGCTCAGTGGGTCATAACCAGGATTCTTTGCGAGGCAAGTGCTATGTTATCAGGGCAATAGAAAATTAAATATAAAGCTCAGGTAGGAGACAATTCTT